AATTAAACTACAATATATCATCAACTGTAAGAGCAACCTGATATCAAAGATGTAAAAATGTGAAAACATGGGCATCTCAGAATCAGTGAAATACGGTATAAACTGCTTAACCTTGTTGGTAAGTAGGTCCCTTGAAAAACGGAAAGCAGTTTTGGTTTCTAGTACCAAGAGAGGCCAGCTGCCACCCTGTCACCTTGACCTCCCTGGTTAGCTGAGTTCCCACGTCTACATGTAATGTGGTCCAGGTGACAGAGGACTGCAGCTATTCTGTGATGCTTTTGTTATCTTCCTCTCCACTGCCATTGCCAAGTTCAGGAGCCACCAGTTCCAGACTCCCCACCCCAGCTCACATGAAACCTATCCAAAAGTGGACCTTTGGGACTTCCCTGGTGGTCCAGTGGCTAAGACTCTGCACTCCCAGTGCAGGGGGCCTGGGTTCAATCCCTGGTCAGGGAACTAGATCCCACATGCTGCAACTAAAGGTCCCGCATGCCGCAACTAAAAAAATATCCCACATGTTGCAATGAGGATCCCGCACGTGGTAATGAAGATCCCGTGTGCAGCTACTAAGACCCAACACAGCCAAATAAATAAATATTTTAAAAAAAAAGTGGACTTTCCTCTTCTACCACACTTGTTCTGACCAATCCAGACGCAAGACGCAGCAGGCATTTTCAATAGCAGCCCTCATCCCTCCTCCCCTCCCCACCCTCCACGTCAGCAGAAACTATGAAATGGGTTTTGTAAAATGAGAAAATTATAGTTTTGAAGGTGACATAGTCGGGTGCCTGAGATCCTCATGTTGTGGAACTACTAAAGGCATGCTTTCTAGTCCGTTTTCTGGATGTGTTGAATTCACTGGCTTGAAAGTTCTAGACCCAGAAGGGGTAACGTAGCCAGTGTAGAGAAGGAACACCGAGCCAGGGAGGACGAAAAGTGTGGACCAGGACACTGTTTTGATTGTAGATAATATATGTCACACCGTACTCATTTTATTAAGTGCAATAAATCTCCTCTTCCTGGAAGGGCAGTAATGTTGGGAGATTGCTTCTGGTTCCAGCAAGCATAAAGAAAGAACCACTCTACTCAGTCCAGAAAGAAGACATGTGTTTTTTAAATAGAGGCCTCCCAGACAGCCAGGAGCATGAACACCCTCTCAAATCCATTCTCATTGCCTCCATCATGAATAATGCAATATTCTAGCTAGGTTTCCTGCCTCCTCTTTCCACAAACTTACAAGTCATCCTATATTCAGATGCCAAATTAAACTTTCTAAACCTCATCAACAAACCACCACTCCTCTTTTCCTTCTTCTTCTTAGTGTTCTCCTGCTTCTAAAATTTTAAAGTGGCTCTCCGCTGAATAAATTCAAGCTCCCAAACTCGGCAATCAAGCCCCTTGGGCTTAGTTTGTCCGTCTTCCCCACAACCTCATACACCCCCCCCAACATTCAGGCCAATATGAACCCATTTGCAGATGCTCAAGTTCAGAGGGAAATAAATAGCCCACACCCCATCATGGGTACAGTATATTAAACCCCTTGTAGTTCCACCAAACACATGGTATTGTCCCATAGTAAAGCCTTTTTTGTTCGCTCCGCCAGGAATGCCTTGCCCAGTCTCCTTCTTGCTAACTCCAATATTCTCTTGTGGTCTCATTTCAACTGTTCCATTAGAAAACAACCTTTCCTAACCTTTAATCTGAAATACATGGCCCTCTTGTTATGTTTTAAAAGTATCCCGTACATAATTCATTATGCCGTGTATCATATGGAACATGACCGTCAACTGAATTCACTATGCTATGCAAATCTAGGACCCAAATGATACCAATGGTTCCAAGATGTCTAGTCAATCTAAAATGAACATCTCTAAGCTAAAGCAAAGTCTCAGCAGTGAGCTGATTTCTTCTTCCAATCCTGATACTGTCCTCCACGTTCCCTGTCATACAATGTTCTCCCCCTTCCTTATATAAGCTTTGTTCAGAATGCCTATCTTGGACCTAGGTAGAAGGAAATCATACTGCACTTTCATTCATTCATAAAATACTTATTTAATGTCTACAATGACTATAATAAAATGAACAAAACAGATACTGTCTCTACCTTCAAGAAGCTTTTCTAGCAAGAAAGACATTAAACAGGGACTTCCCTGGCGGTCCAGTGCTGAAGAATCTGCCTTCCAATGCAGGGGACGCGGGTTCGATCCCTGGTCAGGGAAATAAGATCCCACATGCTGCGGGGCAACTAGGCCCACACACCACAACTACTGAGCTCATGCGCCTCAACAAAAGAGCCTGCATGCCACAAACTACAGGGCCCACACGCTACGGAGCCCGCACCACAACCAGAGAGAGAAAACCCACACGCCACAGCTAGAGAGAAGCCCGCACGCCGCAGCTAGAGAGAAGCCCGCACGCCGCAACTAGAGAGAAGCCCACGCACCGCAACGAAAGATCCCTCATGCCTCAACGAAGATCCCGCATGCCTCAACGAAGATCCAGTATGCCGCAGTGAAGATCCTGCATGCCGCAATGAAGACCCGACACAGCCCCCCAAAAGAAGACATTAAATAATTATAGTTATAAAATCAGCAATTTAATTTCAAATGTTATAAGTGCTATGAAGGAGATGTCCAGATTACTAAATCTAGTGGTCAGTCCCCATCTTGTAAGAGCTATGAGCAGCATTTGACACAACTGATCACTCCTCTTCTTCCTTGAAACACTTTCTCCAATTGGCTTTCAGGACATCATACTCTTTGATTTTCTTCCTACCTTACTCTCCTATGTGGATTTTTTCCTCTTCTTCCCAACCTCTTAACATTGCAATTGCCAATGATACTTTCTCTTCTTCTATTCACTCTCTAGCTGACATCATCTAGCCTTGTGACTCTATATGCCATCTATATGCTGAAAATCCACAAATTCCATCTCCAGCCTGGACCTCCCTCATGACCCCCAGACTTCCAAACCCAAGTGCTTACTGACCATCTCCACTTGGATGCTCAATCACAATGCCCCAAACTGAATTTGTTCCCCAACCTCCCTTGTCTGTAGCATTCCCGCATCTCAGTTGATGGCAACTCCATTATTCCAGTTACTAAAGCCAAAGTAATTTTGGAGTCATCCTTGGCTCTTCTTTTTGTCTTATATCCTATATCTAATCCATCAGCACATCTTGTTGGTACTAACTGCAAAAAATATCAGAATCTGACCACTCTCTGCCTCTGCTATCACCCTGGTCACAGCTACTAATATCTGTGCCTAGGTTACTCCAATAGCCTCCAAACTGGTCTCCCTATTTCTCCTTTTGCCCTATGAGAATCTATTCTCAGCAGAGCAGCCAGAGAGATTCTTTTACAAATTTAAAAGAATCAGGCCCCTCCTCTGCTCAAAACCTTGCAAAAGCTCCTCATTTCACTCATAGAGTAAAAACCCAAGTCTTGGCAAGAACCTTACAACATCTGACCATTTCCTCATAAGCATCATCTCCTCACTTCCTACCACTCTCCCCTCACTCCAGCCACACTGGCCTTCTGCCTGCTCTTTCATCATTGCCAAGCAGGCTCACCTCAGAGGACCTTTCAAGGGCCTATGTCTTCTGTCGTCAATGCTTTTCCCTCAAATACCCCATTGACTAACACACCCCCAAGGTGAACTCCATCACCTCCTTACTTGAAGACTTCTACACTCAAATGTCACCTCAAAAAGGCTAAACCGGGCTTCCCTGGTGGCGCAGTGGTTGAGAGTCTGCCTGCTGATGCAGGGGACACGGGTTCGTGCCCCGGTCCGGGAGGATCCCACATGCCGCGGACCGGCTGGGCCTGTGAGCCATGGCCGCTAAGCCTGTGCGTCTGAAGCCTGTGCTCCGCAGCAGGAGAGGCCACAACAGTGAGAGGCCCATGTACCGGGAAAAAAAAAAAAAAAGGCTAAACCTTTCTACCCTATTTAAAATTGCAACTTATCCTCCCTAACACCTGAGCCTTCTAATCTCCCTTACCTTCTTCTACTTTTTCCATAGCATTATCACCTTCTAGCATATTACATAGTTTGTTATTCATTATGTTAAATGTCTGTTGTGTCTCTCCCAATTATACTATAAGTTCCATAATGGCACATATTCTTGTCCAGTTTGTTCTCTGATGTACCTTAAGCAACTAGAACAGAGCTTAGCAAATAGGTGTCCAGCAAATATTTGCCGATGAATAAAATCTCAAATTTTTAGCATTAGACTAGGCTTCTTCTCACTTTGTTACCCCAGAATCCCAAAGACCTAAAGATTAGAGGAGTGGAGGCAAGGAAAGAAGGACAAAGTGTAAATGATGGCAACAAACTCTTTCATCTCTCGCATTGAGAGGTAAACTCTCTGAAGGTAAGGACTGCATCACATTCATCTTCGTACCCCCAGGTACCTTGTGCATAGTAGATACTTAATAAATTATCTGTTGAGTACATAATGAATAAATAGCACAGAGAACTGTGCCTGGCATATAAAAATGTTTGGAAGATGAATGAATATAAAGCGTCAAGTAACATAATAGAGGTACCAAGAGGGAAACACTATGCTCAGACTTTATCTCAGAGACCTCCCTTTCTAACTGCCTGACTCTCACTATCTATCAACTCTGGTAACAGCAATGATTAAGGCAGGGGGAGGAGGTTGAGAAAGGATGAGAGAAGGAAAAGAAGTTGAAAACAAAGAGGCACAATAAAGTGTGAGCTTTTAAACTTTTTTACTGCGATTCACAAGTAACACTTTTTATCAGCATGACTAAAAACACATAATACCTACACATATACACTCACAAACATATACCTATTTCACTTATATATGACATTTATACATGAAAAAAGTTTATGAAACAACATTGACTCTTACTATATGCAATGCTCTCTAATATTTTCTATTTTATTCAATTAGAAATAAAATGAAACAACAACAGAATTCTGGCTGCTACCTAGTAGATTTCACAATCCACTAAATTGATTTCATGACTCACCAATGAGTCTTGACATGTAGTTTGAAAAGTATTGTAGAAGCAGTTTTTTCACTCTCATCTTTGCCTCACTGCAATGAATATCACTCTCCAGAAAATCTTAAAAGAATTGTGTCTGCTACAGTAACATAAGGGAAACGAAGAAGCAATAAATCATGGTTCTGATCCCACAGTAGGTCAGGGCATAAAGAATCTTAGTCAAACTTCAGATGGAATTTTAAAAAATTGATTCCTCCTTTAAAAAATTAAAAATAGAACTACCATATGATCCAGTAATTTCACTTCTGGGTATTTACCCAAAGAAAACAAAAACACTAATTCAAAAATAAATATGCACACCAATGTTCACTGCAGCATTATTGACAATAACCCAGATATGGAAGCAACCTAAATGTCCATTGATGGATAAATGGATAAAGAAAATGTGGTGATACACACACACACACACACACACACACACACACACACACACACACAATGGAACATTACTCAGCCATTAAATAAATTAAATCTTGCCATTTGTGACATGGATGGATCTAGAGAGTATTATGCTAAGTGAAATGTCAGACAAAGACAAATATCATATGATCTCACTTATATGTGGAATCTGAAAAACAAAATAAACAAACAAAACAAAATGAAAACAGACTGATAGATACAGAGAACAAACAGGTGGTTGCCAGAGGAGAGTGGGGTGAAGGGTGGGGAAAAATACGTGAAAGGGATTAAGAGGTACAACCTCCAGTTATAAAATAAATAAGCCACAGGAATGTAATATGCACCATAAGGAATATGGTCACTAATACTGTAATAACTTTGTATGGAGACAGATGGTTACTAGACTTATCGTGGTGAGCATTTCACAATGTATGCAAATGTCAAATCACTATGCAGTACACCTGCAACTAACATAATATTGTACATCAACTATATTTCATTTAAATTTTTTTTTTAATTCCTGGAGTTCTTATGAGAAAAGAAAGATAGTGGCTAGAGAGCTGGCTGCAACGGCTAAATTTTCCTAAGAGTTGCATTAGCAACATATCCCAGGGCTCCATAAATTCTCAGCCACAGCCCCTTGTTCTCCCAGCTTCAATACCATAGACCATTAGGTCTTTCACTACTGCCTGGAGCTGAGGAAATCTCCTCACCTAGTATACAGCAGATGGGAAGAAAAAGAAATCCATCATTTGTTTCTAAGCTACAACTCTGGGTACAGTTCACACTGCTATATGTGGCAGTTCTGTTCAAGAGTACCTCTAGAGCTATCATAACTTGCAAAAATACTGAATTAAGTGTTCTTCTAACAGACAGCAGTGTTTGTTGATTCTTCCTGTGTCTGGATATTGGATCGCCTTAGCTGCACTGCACTTTTTGTCTTTTCACTGCTCTATTCACCCTTAGATAACTTAAACAACGGCAACCTTGGCAGCAGGGGCAAGTGGAGCGGTCTCTGCCCCACGGGTGGGTAATACAGCAGATGTACCAGTTACTGAATCCATTTGGAGGCCTAAAGGAGAATTCTCCCTGGTCTCCTCACTGTTCAGCCTTAAGGGTAGGAAATACTTCTCTCACCTGTTGAATCACCCAGGTGAGGGCCTCAGATCCTCCATGGGCTGAGCTCTCTCCAGGAACTTCTGAGTATTAATTCTCCCTCCAATGCTCCCTATTGGCCCCATTCTGTCCTCTGGCCCAGAGGGCAATAACCTCCTTCAAGCTTCTCAGTTACTCCTCTTACAGAATCAATGTCTTGCTCATTCCTTCCATGTCCTGCCTGCCTGCCACCCCAACAACCTGCTCCACTCCGGGGAGTTGCCTGGTCATTGGAAAGGGTGGACAGCAAGGCCATAAGTTTCAACAGTCACCTTCTCAGAAACCCCCTGTACCCTCAAATAAGTGAAAAGATTCCAGTCTGCAATCTGTATGTTTCAAGGAATATAATGAAGAATATGAAGATACTTTCAAAGGGAATCCAAAATTATCATTCATTCAAAAAACACCTAAGTGACCACTGAATGGAGGGCACTGTCCTAGGAGGAGACACACCAGTTTGACCCCTAAGGAGTTTCCTTGGAAAGGGGTCACACTAATTTACATGTTGGAGTACTGATGTTAGTGCAACAAAGGTTCTGTTAAATACATAAAATGAAAAAGTGATTCCCACTACATTTTCCCTTTATCATACTTTTGTGGGGTAGGATTGTCATTTAGATTTAAGAGGAAAGTAGTTAAGGTTTTTCACAGGCATTATCTATTAAATATATGAAAAAACATATAATAGATATAGTTTGTCTTTTCTTTTACTTCCTTTAAGCTGTTTTGATATATAAGTGGAGAATAAGAACCCACAAGGACAAGCTTTCCCTTTCTGTCATTTTTACTGACTTTCCCTCATGTTTATACAACATATTCCCTAGCCTGCACCCATCAGCTTCCATCATACATTTAACTCTAAAGCTGCATACCCAGCCATATGCAGGTTATTCTGTCACCTAAAGGGGATCTAGGCACTCTGTGAACTCAGAACTCATGTGAAAGTACAGAAAAGTTGGTTTTTCATAAAGGAAAAAGACAAAGTAGTAAGAATACCAGAAAGTAAAGAAGCATTTGCTGGGATGTGTGAGGAGAAAACAAAAGTATGAGAATCTATAGAATTTTCTGAGGTACGAAAGATAGTGATGGAAAAAAGGTTAGGGAAACGCAGATGGCTTCCTGTTGGCTTTAATGAGACTCTTCAAGTGTTCCTGGGTTCAGTGTTTCTAGTACAGCAATCATGTAGTCATGCAGATCAAGTCAAAGCTAGAAGGTGACTGAAAAGGGCCTTTTATGCACAATAAAAAGTTGAACTTTTTTCCCAACAGACAGACTGAGGTTACCTTTGACAGTCTACTCACTCGCACCCCACCCCACCCAGCAAAGAGGGTCAAAGACAATAAATGAGAATCCAATAAATGGATTTTTTGTAAGTACATACCTGTTTTAGGCCACAATGCATTGACTGCAATTTCACCTTTAAATTCTTCTGCCATTCCAAGCACACACATAGACATACCATACTTAGCGATGGTGTAAGCTGAAAGAAACCACCAAGAATTTAATTAAGAAAGAAATTAATCTGTGAATTTAAATAACCAATTTCTTTCTATTACTATTCCTTCCTCGATATATTTTTTTCAGAATTATTTAATAATAATACAAAACATAATTTTAATTTACTATTTTTAAAAGAACAGTTTTTAAAGAAGTAACTGTAGTTTTATGGAAATGGTTTTTATATATATCAGGGATGAACCACTTTTACATACTTCCATCCTAATATTAGATTCAAAGAAAAAAAGACGGTAATAAACTTTCACTTCTCTTAATATTATGGGAGTAAGTTACATTATTGTTTCTTAATCTGGTTTTCTTCCTTTTCTTTTTTAAAAAAATGAAAGTGACCATTTAAAGGAAAACTACTACTAGTAAAACATAAACAAAAGGTTGCAAATTCATTTAACCTAGTCTATTAAAACAAAACTCCTTTTGGTTTTGTTCTATGGGTTCCTACTTCAACTGCCTTCCTTTCCAAATTTTACTGAATTATGTTGAAATAAGGATAAGTATCTGACACAACTATTTCAAAGGAGGCACCTATACATAAATCTTGTTATTTAGCAAACTCACCTTAAATCACTAGTTTTCTGTGAAAGGTAAAGTATTCCATGGATCGTTTTCACCAACTTTACTGAAGAATAAGTTACATACAATAAAACACACCCACTGGGACTTGAGAGAGCTTTCTAGGACAGGGATATCCATATCTCCATTTGATTATTGGTTATACAGGTATATACGTTTGTCAAAACTCATCAGACTGAACCACTAACATCTGTGCATTTTATTTAATGTAAATTATACCTCAATTTTTTAAATTAAAGATAAAAGATTAAGAATCTACTTACAAAATGCTATCAATTTCTGCATAGAAAATTTAATGTTGAACGCTATGTACAAATTGTGATTACATCATAGATATACTGGTTTAATACAAAACAAATTGACTAAACAAGCCATCCCCTCATCCTACCACCTACCACAGTGCTGTTTGAACCACAGTGGATTTAGGTTCAGCGGTGGGCTGAGATTGAGGATATGAGCAATTTTACTCTTTTTCAAATAAGGAATGCATGCTTTAGATCTGAAAGCAAAAGAAAACACAAGTCAAGTTACTAGCTTTCTAACAGCTTCATTACTTTCTTAAGTTATATTTTAAACTACTTCTACAGAGCAACTGAACTTGTTCGATAACCGGCAGGGTACTTCTGTTGGTTTTCTTTGTTGTTGTTCCCCCACTTACCTGGAATGCAGATAGGAAAAGCAACTGATATTCATCCTTTGAAGCTATGCATAATGGCCTGACAATATGATCTGCTTGATGAAAATAATCAATTCCGTGGCACACTAGCCTTAAATCCAACTTAGATTATCTTCAACTACATCCTTCCAAGTCAGACAGACCTAGGTTCAAATCCTCCTTCTGCCCTTCATTGTGTAATCTGGGGCAAAATATATAGTATTCTAATTTTTAGTTTTCTCACTTGTAAATGTTGGTAATACCTGCTACTATCTAGGATTGACCAAGGGATTAAAATGAGATGATACATATGAGATACTTAGAACAGTGCATATATTAAACATGAAATAACTGCTATTATTAGTATTACATATTCTGATTTTTTTTCATCTTAGTAGGTATAGTATTCCTACCACGCTGGAACTGTAATTTAATACATGAACTCCCAATACATAACCAAATTTAATTTGTACCAATATGCAATGCAATGTTCCTTTGCAGGCAATATTTAGTTGTTTATTTTTTAAACCCTTTCAAAAAGGTAGATTATTTTACAAAAGACACAGGTCCAATATTAGGAAATGTTTAATTATTAAGCTATAGTATATAGCTTAATAACATATCGTAGCTTAATAATTTTAGTTTTTAGTTTTATTTCACATTCAATAACTTCGAGGACTTGAAACTAGTCCATTCTTCTTAAGTCTGTTCCTTTATTACCAATGTACAACATTCTTGTTACCATCTACAATGTCTTTTTTTTTTTGCAATGTCTTTTTAAGTTTATAAACCAAATACAATCAATATCACTAAAGGGTTTTTGTACATATTGTTTTTCTATTACAAAGGTGCTTCACTCTTATCGGGGTGAGGTAGAGAAGGGCAAACAATATTACAGCTGTTTGTCATTAGAACAGTGAAGCTGCACGTCAAAGCATCAACAGGAAACAACCTATTCCAAGCAATAAGACCATATTTCACACTCAAGGGAAGGAGTTCATTTCATTTACATTACAAACATGAGCTTCTCTAATATATTAGACAAAACCTTTCCACCTGCACTTTGCTTGCCTAACCCTCAGCGTTACTAACCCTCATCAGGTACCTTTTCCACGGCAACATGCCCTATCTTACACATTATATTGAAAATTCTTAGCACTACGCTTAGATACTAATACCTTGAGCTTAATAAAAGAGCTAAGTTTACTAGAAACTTACTGTATGCTAGGCACTGCACTTATTAGTTATTACCTTCACATGAATTATTTTACTTAATCAGGGTTGTAAGCTCCAAGGCCTATAGGGCATTTGAGTAAATGAATAAAGTGAGCTGGGTATAAGAAAGAGCAACGGTTCAGAAATACAGTTGAGCCTTATTACTGAATTTCTATAAGCATTTAACATGATACAAACACATATAATACTGGAGATTATATATTTAATTAAAACTTAGAAATACAAATCAGGATCTGCATTCTACCTCCTGTCTTCCAGCCCTGTTTCTTTAAACCACTAGAACACAAGACACAGGCCACAGGGCCCTGGGCACCAGGGATCAGGAAGCAGCTCCAGATCCTTGCTGAAATCTCCAAATAGGTCAGTTCTTTGGGCCTTCCCCTACTCTCCCTGAGGATGCTTCTCAGGCTTCCCTGAGAAAACAATCTGTACTTATCTTCTGTGAATGAAATGAGTGTCACTAAATAAAAAACAAAACAAAAATTTAAATGGAAATGTCTCATTATGAATTTCTCTTTTATAATGTATGCCTTTCATAGAGGGCCAAAAACCTGACACCCTTTTTTTGGTTCAAAGGTCAATGTCAGGTCTTTCAACTGGCATTGTAAAATGCCTTTAACTGGGAACAATTTTATTTAAAATTAGCTGTTAATAGGGACTTCCCTGGTGGCACAGTGGTTAAGAATCCACCTGCCAATGCAGGGGACACGGGTTCAAGCCCTGGTCCAGGAAGATCCCACATACCACAGAGCAACTAAGCCCCTGTGCCACAACTACTGAGCCCACGTGTCGCAACTACTGAAGCCCGTGCGCCTAGAGCCTGTGCTCCACAACAAGAGAAGCCACTGCAATGAAAAGCCCGTGCACGGCAACAAAGAGTAGCCCCCGCTCACCGCAACTAGAGTAAGCGCATGCGTAGCAACGAAGACCCAATACAGCCAAAATAAATAAATAAATAAATTTTATTTTCAAAAATAGCTGTTAATAAATATAGGAACTTTCAACAGTGAATAGAATCTTTGCTTTTAAAAAGGGTTTTAGGGCTTCCATGGTGGTGCAGTGGTTGAGAGTCCGCCTGCCGATGCAGGGGACACGGGTTTGTGCCCTGGTTCGGGAGGATCCCACATGCCGCGGAGCGGCTGGGCCCGTGAGCCATGCCCGCTGAGCCTGCGCGTTCGGAGCCTGTGCTCCGCAATGGGAGAGGCCACAAGAGTGAGAGGTCCGCGTACCGAAAAAATAAAAAATAAAAAAGGGTTTTATTTTAGGGTATCTATTCCTGAGATATTTGTAGATCTATTACTCCAACGTACTCATATTTAGTTTTTAGTACCTTAGTGCCCTACAGCTTATGTATTCCATTTGTAGTTCTTCAACTGCACAAATAGTTTTCATTCATAAAGGTAATTTTAAAGTTAGTTCATTTTCCTATATCGGATTTTTTGGTTTTGTTTTGAACTGAACAAATCTATGAACAGGAGTGTAGTTTAGGCCATCACTTTCATTTTTGGAAAATGACCTTGTTATAGGAAAGGGGACAAATTATCCTTGACAAATGGGTTTTCCAAAGACATAATTTCACAAGGAATGAGCAATGAGAATCATATACTTGTGTTTCCGTAAGTCATAATGTCAGCTAAAAAAGCCAAGTCTTTGACCCAATCTTTGCTTGGGAACTGAGTTGGGAATTTTCTCTTGGGTGGCAAAAAAGAATTGATTTCTTTCTAATCAAAAACAAAATCTCTACAACAATACACCACAACCACACAACCTTGTCACAGAACTGACAGTCACTTTGTATTCAACATGAGTAAAGCACTGAATAGTCTGTATTTCAAACCACGGAAGTCTATTTAATTCTTACAATTCATAACGGCCCGTTTTCAACTTTTTAGCAAGAGCTATTCCTAGTGAACAATACAATGAACAAACTTAATTTCTACACCTCTGTGAAACACTTCTACACTAGTTTAGACTTGTATAAGTTTAAAGTTAACCCTGACCATCACAGTCACACTGTCTATACCACTTTTTTTTTTTTATTTACTTTGGGCTGCATTGGGTCTTTGTTGCTACACGCGGGCTTTCTCTAGTTGCAGCCAGCAGGGCTACTCTTCGTTGAGGTGTGCAGGCTTTGCATTGCGGTGGCTTCTCTTGTTGCGGAGCATGGGCTCTAGGCAGCCAGGCTTCAGAGTTGTAGTGCGTGGGCTCAGAAGCTGTGGCTCGCGGGCTCTAGAGCGCAGGCTCAGTAGTTGTGGTGCACGGGCTTAGTTGCTCCGCAGCATGTGGGATCTTCCAGGACCAGGGATCGAACCCGTGTCCCCTGCACTAGCAGGTGGATTTTTTTTTAATTAATTAATTAATTTTTTGGCTGCATTGGGTCTTCATTGCTGTGCGCAGGCATTCTCTAGTTGCGGCGAGCACGGGTTACTCTTTGTTGCGGTGTGCGGGCTTCTCATTGCAGTGGCTTCTTTTTGTTGTGGAGTACAGGTTCTAGGCACACGGGCTGCAGTAGTTGTGGCACGCGGTCTCAGTAGTTGTGGCTCACAGGCTCTAGAGCACAGGCTCAGTAGTTGTGGCACACAGGCTTAGTTGCTCCACGGCATGTGGGATCTTCCTGGACCAGGGCTCGAACCTGTGTCCCCTGCATTGGCAGGCAGATTCTTAACCACTGCGCCCCCACGGAAGTCCTGATTACCACTTTTGATAAACCCACATTACATTTTCTAAAACATTTCTCAATCCTCAAGTCATTTCCTGATGTTCATGTCATGAGTATCCAGTCTAAAAAACTTTAATCACATCAAAATTATCCTGACACCATAAATAAATATAACTGGGTGGGTGGAATATTTATTCCTGTGGCTTCGTCATCTATAATAGAAACGGACACAAATGATTTAAGTTTTTCATGCATCATGCCCTTCTAACCCTTAATTCAGCAGGAATAGTATTCCTGGTTAGGTTTATATTTTTAAACACTTATTTAAATGAGTGTTTACATTCAATCAAAATTCTTTCACAAAGTTACCAGCTGTAAAATATTTTGATGCCCAGATAATTTCTTCTTGTAACACATAACTGCATCACACAGCAGCATTGCTTATTTTATTTGAAAGTAAACACAAACCTATTGAAATATTAGTCCTCTTTCTAGTTCATTAAGTTTTTCACCATAATCTTTTCAATATGCTTGCCACAGATCTTACTATGGTTTGATTCTCTATGGTTTCCATTCAGGAGGAATATAGGTTACACACTGAATTTATAGAAATATGCCCCACATCTACAAAGAAGCAAGCTCTCAACCATTTTACTTGCACATATGGCCCTCTTGGCATATGTCTCATTTTCCCACTTCAGATAGAGACATGGGTATGAAAATATTTTACTTTCTCCTTTAATAGAAGAAGGAAAAGTGCAAGCACAATGATAAGTGGCAACTTTTTAGCCTGCCCTCAGCATCCAGAGACAATGGTGCCCAGTCCCCATCTGATAACGCAGTTGATACTCTGCCACTGGGCTATGGTAGCTAACTGTTGCCACGTGGGAACGCTGTCTCTATGTGGCCAATGTTTCAAGAAAGCCAGAAATCGGGATTTTTGTGTAAATCTGATTTTTTTCATGTAGGCAGCTAATGAAATTATGAATATAGGTAACTAATAAAAACAAAATGTTTAACACTGTCAGAGCCAAGTTTTGCTGATCCAAAAACACACATCCAAGGGCAAAGTTCAAAATTAAAGACAAATTTTACATTTAACCCTTATTACCAATCTTATGACATACTTCTCTATTATCCCCATTTTACAAATGAGAAAACAGACTGCAAGAGCTTAAGTTACTTGTACAAGCTCATGAAGATAGTGAGTCATGAAGGGTGGGGGTGAAATTTGAATCCTCAAAGGAGTCTGCCTCCAAAGCCCAAGTTCCTAACCACCTGTTCTATGCAAACGTATAAGGCAGATACACACAAGTACATATAAGGCAGATAAGAAAGTTCTGTGCTGATCTGCCCTTATATCCACATGAAAAATGGTAGAACCCGAAGGTAAATAAACAGATAAACAAATGGACAAACAAACAAGAGTGGACTAGGTCTGACCAATCCAGAACACAACAGGACTACATTTGCTCTCATTCTATATTTGATATTTTCCCTGACACTGCCTAAGATAGCATTAGCCTTTTTCAATTACATTAAAATGGGATTCATAATGAGCTTCTTGTTATTTACATAACTAAAACTCCAGTGTTTTTCAGAGGAAGAGACTACTGCAGGTTTGCCAGAAGACTTGGTATGCATATATATATATTTACTCATGCAAATGTTTGAAAATGTTTGAGCTATACTTTAGTCTTTATTAGAATCACAGAGAAAAGGCACTCTGAATAAAACTATTTAAAATACTACCTACTGACTTGGAGCACTTTTAGGCCTTTATAAGGGTTGACTAGATTTTAAACTGTATTCCTAACCTATTCAAATCTGTTTACAACTAGTTCTCTGACAAAACACTGCAACACTCTCTCCCACAGGTCTTTAACTTACGTAAGATAGGTGCCTCTGGTGTTGATGTTCATCATCAAATCCACTTTCTTTGTAGGTGTTTCCAATGTGTTGGTCAAGCTAATAGCACTGGCATTATTCACCAGAATATCAATTCCTGTATTCAAATAATCAACTTCTTAGTAATGTAATTTAGACTTTATAACAAAAAGAAATAAAAAACATTCACTCTATATAGTTGAAGCCCGAGTTCACAAATACTTCTTTTAGATAATATGACTGACGAATACACCAATGCAAGACTCAGTAGGTATGTCAAAACAGCACCCAAATGATTTTCACAGGCACATGGAGACCATAACCAGGGCTCCACAGGAAACTGCAAGGAAGCTTAGTCCTTAGTGGTTTGTAGCTCCCGTCCTTATCTGTTCTCTTACTTCCTGGTCTTCCCTCCTTGTCTCCAAGAACCTTAGGTCAATTTCCTTAAAGTTTCCACCCCCCCCCACCCAATCATCTTTCCAAGGCCTGTCTCCCTTCCAAGCACACCGGTCTCCCGCCTCTTAAAGGCCCTTACTTAAATGGAAGAGCTCCTTTCTGGTCTTGGGAACTGGGAAAAGAGAAATGACCTAGAGTTTAAATTCCAGGCAAATCATGAAAATAGATCAGGTTTGTTTTGGTAACTTATACACAAAATAAATTTAGAATAATGATTATTTCTGCATATTCTATACAGTCCTTATCCATATGTAACATTTATGGTTACAAGCTTAAATAATGTTAAATGAAAATGGTAAAATACAAAAGCATCTCAAACACATTTCTGCATTTCTACATGGCCTTCATAATTCTTCTCCTTTAAATTGAAGTACAGCTGATTTACAATGTTGTGTTAATTTCTGCTGTACAGCAAAGTGACTCAGTTATAGATATATATACATTCTTTTTTATATTCTTTTCCATTATAGTTTATTTCAGGATACTGAATATAGTTCCCTGTGCGATACAGTTGGACCTTGTTGTTTATGCATTCTATTCAATATATGTAATAGCTTGCATCTACTAATCCCAAACTCCCCATCTATCCCTCCCCCATCCCCCTCCCCCTTGGCAACCACAGGTCTGTTCTCTATGTCTGTGAGTCTGTTTCTGTTTCGTAGATAAGTTCATTTGTGTCATATTTTAGACTCCACATATAAGTAATATCATATGGTATTTGTCTCTTTCTGACTTATTTCACTTAGTATGATCATCTCTAGCTGCATCCATTCTTTCTAAAGAGCATTTAATATTCTATCAAATAGATATATGACAATTTCTACTGCTGGGGTTAGACTGTTGCCTTAAACGTCTTTTATTATCTTAACTTTGCTTTGTCCCTCTCTCACAATATGTGGAAAATGGTTTAAATAAGGTTATTATACTTACAACATATTAGTCGTAAGCTCCCTTTCTTCATTTATAGTAACATTATAAAATTTTGATCACGTCCTCATTCCTCAATTTCCATATTCTTTAGCACAGAGTTAGCGCTACTAATGTTTTCTTAAAACGTGTCCTTAGAATAACTTTGGATTCAACTAGATTACATTTTATATCTTCGTTATAACAAAACTCAAACTCAAGTAAATCACCTGTATATATTGGACAAGGTTCACGTCCTGTGACTACCAGCTTTCCAGAATAAACAAAATGATGATGGTTTGCCTTCATAAGTGGCAAAGACCAGTGAGAGGAATTTTTAAATCCACGACATGCTTCTCAATTCACAAAACTAGATATTGCTCAATCTCATCACTAAGACATAATCACTGAGGGGCTACTCTGTATAAGGCATGCTGCTAGGGCCTAAGAGACAAGGAAGATAATATTCACTAAAGAAAAAGCCAGGTGGGAGCAAAGCAAATTGAGTGTGGGTCTGGGTGAGATGCTGGTCTGGGTGTGCAAACCACCTGTGTAGAATTACCCTAATTAAGGCGATGAAGCTAATGAGGGTTGATCCAATCAATGGATTCCTTGGGCAAATCCAACCTTTATTGACTTCATCTCTCACTATGTGATAATAAGTGACAGCTATGTTAGCAGAGCAAACATCTGGGCCCAAAAGCAAAAGAAAGTAGATGAGTAATGAAGATATACTGACTGGGAAAACTCTATTTGACTTGCCAGTGATAAAGAGAAAAAAAACTGGGTCCAATTAAGAGATATCTTAAAATTTCTGAACTCAGATGGGCCAAATTAAAATGGATCGGGGAACGATGGTGGGAAATGATAAAGAAAAGGCATATATGTATGCCTGCTGCAGAAGAAAAAGGTGGCAGGAAAGATTACATCTGTGGTTTATGAAACAGCATAATTTACTCAAGGCCTGAAACACTCTGAAGATGAGGGAAGGCAAGGTGATAGGGAGTACCATGTGGCAGAGGCCCCCCAGGGCACAGGTCAGAAAGCACCATCCACTGTGCAGGACTTTGTTAGGGATAATTCCCCAGCAGAGAGAAATATCAGGGCAAAGGTAGAGTGTTCCCTAAAAGGCAGACTTCAAAGGCCTACAAAACTCCAAACCAGACCATATCAGTAGCAACCATAGTATGGAACTAAAACCAAACGAGCAAAATATAAAGACTTGGGAGATCTGTGGAAAAAAAACACAGAGGAAAAAAAGAGCAGGCTATGAATCATCTCATAAATGTGGCAGCCATCCTGATTAGGAGACAGCAGAAGCTGAGATGCTGAACAGAGCTCACTGAAGAATTAAGATTCTGCATTGTTATGCCAGAAAAGCAGAAGTTAATGGGCAAATGGAAAGCAAAACACTTTAAATACATCAAAGTGGATCCTAAGGAGGAGGGAAGGAAATGTTAGGATAGATTCCAAAATAAAGGTAACTCCACCACCAATTTGTAAATTTAGCAAGAAGATAGAAAGGTTTCAGGGCTTCCCTGGTGGCGCAGTGGTTAAGAATCCACCTGCCAAGGCAGGGGACACGGGTTTGAACCCTGGTCCAGGAAGATCCCACATGCCGTGGAGCAACTAAGCCCATGCGCCACAACTACTGAGCCTGCACTCTAGAGCCCGCGAGCCACAGCTACTGAGACCGCATGCCACAACTACTAAAGCCCGCGTGCCTAGAGCCGATGCTCCACAACAAGAGAAACCACGGCAATGAGAAGCCCAGGCACTACAACAAAGAGTAGCCCCTGCTCGCTGCAAATAAAGAAAGTCCACACACAGCTAAGACCCAACGCAGACAAAAATAAAATTAATTAATTTTTTAAAAAAAGAAGTGTTTCAGATGCCCATCTCAACAACAGGTAGCAAAATACATTGGGAGATTTTTTTCCCCAAAGATATGAAAAGCATACCTTCTTAATTGAAGATTTCTAGCAACTGAGCTAAGTTCTAGGACATGAAGCCCAAATCAATAATATGGATCCACTGACTTCTAAAGAAACAAAAACCAAGATTTGCTTTTGTCCTTACCGTTTTCTCTGTCTACTCCTGGAAAAGGACATCACGTGATAGACAAAGTTGAATTAATCCAACATTGAAGATGCTGAAGGAATGATACCAGGTTCAATGGAAGACAATCTAAGCTACAGTGGCTAAAAAAATGCAGACCATCCATGCACCTGAGTGAACCTCCTTGGCTGGGACAAAATAGAGTTAGAAAATTGGAGAGGAGATATTTCTGGGTCTTAATTCTTCCAAGAAAAAGATTTCAGTGTGGCTCTTTAAATTCTGTGGCAACAGTAGGAGAAGAAATCAATTTGTGAGACCTCAGTTTATTCTGGAGGATCCCAACTCTGGAAAGTGGAGCTGCTTCACATTTTGACACTCAGGAACAAATTTTTGGACTATGATGTCATTAGTACGTAATGTGTAACTCTTTCTGGTGAACCAGATTAGACAATGCAGCTAGAATTCAAGACGGGAAGTTAAAAGGTGGGTGAAAACTATTATATATAAGATGGATAAACAACAAGGTCCTACTGTATAGCACAGGGAACTATAGTCAATATCCTGTGATAAACCACAATGGAAAAGAATATTAAAAAAAGAATGTATACATGTGAATAACTCAGTCACTTTGCTGGACAGCAGAGATTGGCACAACTTTGTAAATCAACTATACTTCAATTAAGAAAAATAAAATTTAAAAAATACAAATGAAAATAAAAGGGGAGACTTCCCTGTTGGCAGTGGTTAAGAATCCACCTGCCAATGCAGGGGACACGGGTTCGAACCCTGGCCCAGGAAGACCCCACATGCCGTGAAGCAGCTAAGCTTGTGCACCACAACTACCGAGCCTGTGCTCTAGAGCCCGTGAGCCATAACTACTGAATCCCGTATGCTGTAGGGCGCAACTACTGAGTCCATGTGCTGCAACTACTGAAGCCCACGTGCCTAGAGCCTGTGCTCCGCAACAAGAGAAACCACTGCAATGAGAAGCCCATGCACCACAACAAAGAGTAGTGCCCCCGCTCGCCGCAACTAGAGAAAGCCTGCGTGCAGCAACGAACACCCAACACAGCCAAAAAATAAAAATTTTTTTTACAAGTTTAAAATAATTAAATTAAAAAAAATAATAAATGGGGGGGTGAATTGGGGGCCTATATAGTATGGTCTTGAGTATCTTTAACTAATGTCCATCTTGACTCATTTCAGAGGTTTCTTGGGACAATACCAGACAACAGCTGAACTGCTGATGTTCTCTAACAGAACTACAGGACAGAAATAAAGATCGAGAAAGGGCTCAGACAAAGCTGGTAGCAGCTCTCCCCAGTATTCTGATGATTTCATTCTCCAAGAAGGATAACTTGCCCTCAGTTGATAAACCCAATGGATCAACAGAAAGAACTAAAACTGGATGAATACAGAGAAAGGAAAAGCTCCAGTCTTCCACCCTCACCCACCTTATCCCTTAATTCCTCCCTAAAAATGAACGGCTAAACTAATTAGGTTAAGTCCTAATTGGCACTATTTGCTCAGTTTCACTAGTAGGTGAAGTCATTTTAGATAAAAGGTTCTGCACATGAATGTGGCATCCTTCCTTCCTCTTTCATATTTGCAGCCCGATCAGTAAGAAAAAAAAAAAAATACCCAGTAATTTTGCATTCTCTCTCCTCTTCTCTCATGGGCATTCACATTACTTTGGGA